CAACTGAAAGCTGTTAAAAATCAATCATTTCCATTTGTAGCGTGGAAACTCCCAGAATTTGTCAGTGCAGCTGGTGCTTGGAATTGGTGCTGGTTCCCAGAGAGATGAGATTTTGGTGGGTTGTGCTTGCAGGCTGGCAGGTTTGGGCAGCTGACCTACGTCAGGGTGTACCAGGGCATGCTGAAGAAATCGGATTACATCTACAACACCCGCACCGGGAAGAAGGTCAGGGTGCAGAGGCTCGTCCGGATGCACTCGGACAACATGGAGGTGAGTGGATCCCTAGGGATGGGCTGGCAGCCCTGGGATAGCCCTGGATCAGCACTGCCTGAGCCACTGGATAATCCTGGATCAGCACTGCCTGAGCCATGGGATAGCCCTGGATCAGCACTGCCTGAGCCCCTGGATAATCCTGGATGGATCAGCACTGCCTGAGCCATGGGATAGCCCTGGATCAGCACTGCCTGAGCCACTGGATAACCCTGGATGGGTCAGCACTGCCTGAGCCATGGGATAGCCCTGGATCAGCACTGCCTGAGCCACTGGATAACCCTGGATCAGCACTGCCTGAACCGCTGGATAATCCTGGATGGGTCAGCACTGCCTGAACCGCTGGATAATCCTGGATGGGTCAGCATTGCCTAAAGCACAGGATGGTGTTTGCTCCTTAACAATTTTGCTTCTTGTTTAATCCCAGACTAATCCAAGCTGAGGCCTCCCTTTTGTCCTTTGAATAAAGAGGAAGATTTGCAGGGCTTGGAATTGTTTAAGGAGCTCAGAGTCAAGCTTTGAAACAGTGTTTATGGATTTTCTATAATCCAGGTGGAGTTTGGATGTGAGGGAAAGGCAGAATCCATCCCAAACCATTCCAGGATTGAAGGAACCTTGGGCACGCCTTCCACTATCCCAGGGTGATCCAAGCCCTGTCCAGCCTGGCCTTGGACACTTCCAGGGATCCAAGGGCAGCCAGAGCTTCTCTTATCCCAGTGTTGTCTGAACAGGAATTTTCCTTCCCTCAGGATGTAAATGAAGTTTATGCTGGAGACATCTGTGCCCTGTTTGGGATTGACTGTGCCAGCGGGGACACGTTCACGGATAAAACCAGCACTGACATCTCCATGGTGAGCCCCCCTTGCCCTGGCTGCCTCAGGCACTGGGAGTCACCAGGATTTTGCTGGAATTTGTAATCATCCCCTCTTCCTTGGCCATGCAGGAATCCATCCACGTCCCCGATCCCGTCATTTCCGTGGCTATGAAGCCTTCCAACAAGGTAGGAGCCTTCGGATCAACCTCTTCTCCCTGAGTTCCCTCCCTTTGCAGCTTTGTGATTTTATGGAACAGTCTAAGCACTGTTCAAAAGTGTTTTATTCCAAATATCCATGATTTTGTCCCTTGGATAACCCAGGGCTGAGCTGGATGCTGTCACTCAGACAGAAACATGGACTTGAAATAAATAATTAACACTTCAGTCAAGAGTTACAGATCCTCCATAAAATATCCCCAAAGAGCAGAAATGCTCAGGAGTGGATGGGAAAACTTGAGGCTTTTTTTCTTGGAATCACTCATGGATGTGGAGTACATCTTGGCTTGTGTTTCAGAATGACCTGGATAAATTTTCCAAAGGCCTGGGCCGCTTCACCAGGGAAGATCCCACCTTCAGGATCCACTTTGATGAGGAGAGCAAGGAGACCATTGTCTCTGGGATGGGGGAGCTGCACCTGGAAATCTATGCCCAGGTAATTTGGGAAGCACATTCCATGGATTCTTGCTTCTGCCTGCTTTTCCCATCTCCTCTTCCTCCTCCCTATCCCTTCCAGCTGCTTAGGGACAAGGTGAAATTTTAAGTCAGCTTTTGAAGGTTCTTTCTCTCCAGTGGTTCCATTCTGAAGGCTTCAAAAAGGAAATTTTGCCTGGAATGGTTTTAGGATTTGGTTCAAACCCATAAAAAATGTATTACACTTTGCTCTAGCAGCCTTTGCTTATAATAATTAATAATACCTAATTATAATTAATTTCTATAGGAAAATCCTCTGTTTCTGTGGTTTTAAATGTATCATTCCCTAATAAAAGCTGGTGCAGGGAGGAGAAAGGATTAGTTACAAGGATTTGTTTCATTCCAAGTGATGTCTATATTTTAATCTTAACACAAAAGACGTATCTTAAATATTTAATTTTATTAAATATGTAATTGGATTAAATATTTAATTTTATTAAATTTGACAGAATTAAGAAAAAGTTATTTTTGCCTTGAAAAACTTGAATTTTAATAGCATAATTAATGCTGTTTCCTTTTCCTGCATCTGAAGCTGCAGGTCTTAAATGATGGGGAATAATTTGTTAATTAAAAAAAAAAAAATAACAAAAAGCTCCAAAAATCAATCCAACCCCCAACCAAAAAAAAGTGATTAATCCTGATGAAGTTACTAAATAATTCCCCATGATCACTGTGGGTTTTTTCCTGCAGAGAATGGAGAGGGAATATGGTTGTCCTTGCACCATGGGGAAGCCCAAAGTTGCCTTCAGGGAGAACATCTCTGCCCCTGTGCCGTGAGTATTCCTGCTGGGAATTGTCACGTTGATCCACTCAGAGGGGGTTCCTTTGGAATTCTGGGATCAGGAAGGGGTGATTTCATGTCTGGCACCGTGGGTGATCCGTGCTGCCGTGGCCTGTGTGCTCCTCCCGGGCTGCTCCGGGGCCGTGGCAGCGCGACACGCGGGCCCCGCGCTGGGGGTGCCACAGCACGCTCACCTCCCAGGGCAGCACCTCCTGTGGGCACAGGGGCTGTCAGAACCTCCCTACAGCAGACTTTAAATCACTTCATACTGAAAATCACTTTATGTTTAGCTTCAGTTGAAATTTAACCTTTTTCAAAAAAAAAGCTTCAACCATAAAATGCACAAATGCTGCCGATTTTGAACTTTAGGGTCTGGACCTTAAGTATTTCCTGGTTTTCTTAGCTAAAACTTGAACATTTGGCACATTTTTCACCCTGAACAACCCCTCCCTGCTGCCCTCCTCCACAGCAGCAGCTTCCTGGAAAACTAGCATTTAAACCCAAGGGGATGGCAGTGCCAGGGGTCAGGGCTGGAACTGGGAAGGGAGATCCCTGGATTGTTACAGTCAAGAGCATCTCTTCACAATTTTCTGTGGTTTTCCTATGGAAACACCTGCTCAGATCCCAGAATTTTGATGGAGAGTAGCACAGGATGTAAATGCTGTTCTGGGAGCCAGTTTCTGCTGGGGGTTACTGGGATTGCTGAGGTCTCTGTCCTGGGCCATGGAGGCATCCACAGCCCAGCTGGAATTCAGCTGAGCATCCAGGATGCTCCAGCTGCCCCTTCCCTTTATCCCTGCCTACTTTGGCACTGGGATCTCTCAAGGGAGAGCTGTGAGGGACCAGCTTTGAACCTCAGCCATTCCTAAGGAAGCCCAGAAATAGCTGGATATCCCTGCTGCTGTTCCTGGAATGCTGAGACAGGCAGGGATGGGGCTCAGGTCTGTGTCTGAGCTGGAGCTCACACAGCTGCAGTCTTAAAACATCCAAAAAAGGCATTTTAGGGATAAAATTATTTACCTGGGACACCATTTCGTGGAGTAGAACCACATAGTCAAACTGAAGATCTTCATCACTTCTTTTCTGGAAAGAGAGGATGAAAAGGGGTGGATTTAAGGATTCTCCCACCTTAGAAAAAGTGATTCAGTTCTTTGTGGTTATCACAAAAATTCCCTGATGGATTTCAGATAAAACTGGCAGCTCCTGATCACTAATGAAGCAGGTGGAGCTCAGGCACTATAACAAAATTAAAAACCTGGTTCGAATTTTTGTGGACTCCAAAACTGCATTGGAGACGCTGAATGTAAAGCTTTAAGCTGCTAATTCCTGCCTTACAGAGACCAGATCTGTCAGGAATTCTTTGGGATGGGAACACCACATTTTAGAAGGTGTCAGTTTAACCCAAACAATCCCAAATAAAATTGTCAAGAGGATAAGGACACTGCAGAGGCCTTACAGTGAGTGACAGTCAGGGATTCTGAGAGACAGAATAAACCCTGGCCTTTGGAATAGTCTCTTTTCCTGTGTTTTTCAGGGGAAAAAAGGGACAAAATTACCCAGGAGAGATGGCAGCTGGGTTACTTTATAGTTATTTGTCTCCTTTATCCTTAAATTTGCTAGAGAGGGGTTGAAAATCTTTAATCTCTTGCTGGCACACAGCCCTGCAGCAGCTGTGAATTCTCTAAAATGCCATCAGAGGGAGCAAAACATCCACAAATTCTGCTCCCACAAGGAATTCCTGGCTTTCCTTCTGACCCAGAACTTCCTGGAATTCACTGTCTGTTCACAGGGACAAAACTTCAGGAGATTTTGGCTTTCTAAACACTAAATCCTGCTGCTTTTTCCTGGCTCCTGTGGAAAATCACTTTGAATTTAAAGTTGGTGATCACTTTAGGGTTACTGTTAACTCAGACTCGATTTTTTTCAAGAAGAAGACAGGAAAACTGGGAGGATCTGTAGAATTCTGTTAATTTAAGCCAAGGCCAGGTTGGATGTGCTTGGAGCACCCTGGGCTATGGAAGGTGTCCCTGCCCATGCAGGGGGGGAATGGGATGAGCTTGAAGGCCCCTCCAGCCCAAACCAGGCTGGGATTCTGCTCCTGCTGCTAACTCACCACTTGCTTCACGTGTTTAACTTGGGCAAGGTGGAGCTTGGTGTTCTCAGTGGAATTCTGCCAGATCACGTAGCCAGAGGCCACCCAGGCCAGCAGGTGGATGGGCTCCAGCTCTGGGGGAACGTTCCCGTGGCTGTCTGGAACCAAAATAAACACAGGATGTTAAAGAGAGCCCTTAACAGAACATTATCACCTCACACAGGGCTTGCTGCTGTCACACAACCTCCCACAGGGTTTGGAAGGGCTGCTCCATCACCACAGAGTTTTCCTCCCACCTCACACAATCCTGGAATGGTTTGGGTTGGACTGGACCTTAAATCCCATCAGTGTCACCCCTGCCATGGGCAGGGACACCTCCCACTGTCCCAGCTTGCTCCAAGCCCCATCCAGCCTGGCCTTGGACACTTCCAGGGTGTTCTCCTCCACTTTTTCCTCTTAACATAAATTCCAGGTCTCGAAGGCAGGGGTTGCTGTGAGGTGAGAGCAGCATTTGGGGTTGTACATTTGGGGTGTTGGATGTGCTGTGCCAGGACACCCTCAGAGGGAGCAGGAAGAGGTGGCAGTGCCAGCTGGTTTTCCAGAACACTCAGAATCAGGAATAAATGCAGTGGCTGTGACTGCAGACCCCCCAGAAAGAGAAAGGGAAGCAGCAGGGTGAAGGGCTGAGCCCTCTCCCAGCCCTGCCTCGTACCTGGGATGTTCTCGGCCACAAGCTCCTTTTCCAGGCTCCTGATGCGATTGTAGAATTCCTTATCTGCTTCCTCTGTGCTCCTGAGCTCTCCTTGCACTGTGACCTGCACATCTGGAGCAGAGGTTTTGCTGCCCAGGTGATACAGAACCTCAGCAGTGCAGCTCACAGTCCTGTCCTGTTGCAGAGTTAATGATCAGCATTATTATTTGATGGAAATGTGTGTAACCAGGGTAATTTGCACTTCTGAAAACGTGATTTTTATGTAGTTGCTGTTTTCTCTGAGTCTGGTCTGGAGACATTTGTGATGATTTAAGACAGGGTCCAATTCCTGGCATTTCTGTGAGTGTTTAAGGGTGGGATTTGCTTTCTGCAGTGATGGTAGGGGTGCAGAATGTCCCTTGTGCTGTTCAGCTGGAGCTGAGTGACACTGAAATATCAGCCCTGCACCATGGTCAGTGGGTTCCTTTGGGTTAAAATTCAGCCTTTTGGGAGCCTGACTGGCAGTACAGAAAAATCAGGAGCATGATTCAAGATGTTAAGTGCTGTATCCACAGAGTGTGTAATTAAAGCAGTCTGACTCACGTTGTCCAGGACATCTTCCAGCTCCAGTTCCAGGTAATACTTGTGCCCAACATCATCAATGTCCTTAAAAAGGGAACATATTAATAACATTTATTTTAGCAAATGTTGAGTGGCTGCATCCTGGACAAAATCAGAGAATCCCAGGATGGTTTGGGTTGGAAGGGACCTTAAATCCCATCCAGTGCCATCCCCTGCCATGGCAGGGACACCTTCCACTATCCCAGGCTGCTCCAAGGCCAGTTCCAGCCTTGCCTTGGGCACTGCCAGGGATGGGCACTTTGTGCCAGGGCCTCTCCACCCTCCTTTCTACCCCTGAACACCCCTGAACTGCCAATTCCGGGCTCCTGTGTGATTCTACACAAGAATTTGCCTCTTGGTTAAATACTCCCCTAACAGCCTCCAGTGTTTCCTTCTGTTACTCCCACTTTGCAGGTTATTATGAATTGGATCGTGCCCTGTATTTTTGTGGTTCTAAAGAAAGGAACAGCTGGGATTTGCTGTGTGCCTGCAGTGCCAGGTGTCCCTGCAAACCCAGGGCTGTGTCCTGGCACCCGCGGGAGTGCCCAGCGCCCTCCTCCTCCTCTTCCTCCTCCTCCCTGGGAGGTTCCTCCTGTGCCGGTGCCGTGTCCTGGGCAGGAGCTGTCACCGCAGGTGACTCTCGGGGTGTGTTTCCCATCTCAGACCCGCCCGTGGTGACACCGAGCTCCTGCGGGGACCCGCAGAGGGACAGAGCCGGTGTCACCCCCGCGGTGCCACAACCCCTGCGCTCGGAAAGGAGCCCACCCTGGAGCGGGTGACACCGGGGGGTTTGGGATGTCCCCAGACACTGCACGCTCCTCCTGTCCGCTGTCCCTGTGCTCTGCCCGCTCCTTGGGAAGAAGCCCTTCCCTGTCCCCGGTGCCTGTCCCCGGTGCCTGTCCCCGGTGCCGGTCCCCGGTGCCGCTCCCCGGTGCCGGTCCCCGGTGCCGTTCCCCGGTCCGGTCCCGCTCACCTGGCGCCGGGCGCGGCGCAGCTCCCGCAGC